TCACGGAACGTTTCTCTAGCGGATTTGCCTTTAACGAAAGAAAACTTTAAAACAGCGCGAATTTCGGCGTTAGTGAACTCCATGTTTACAATATCCAAACTAACTTGTTTTGTAGGTTATGTGAAGACCTTTCAAATTATGTATAGTGTTGCCAGATACGAGCTCTGTAGCGCTTTGTACATAGCCGCGAAATTCAAAAGACAAAATAGCGGAAGGGAGGTATTTGACAACCTTATATATATATATAAATAATTGTTTTTGTTACGTATAACTCTTAAAACGTTAATTTTTTTTCAATTAAATTAACTTTTCGTTTTTGTTAGCTCGCATGAAACTCTAAGTTGGTCTTCATAAGCTTTATAAAATTAAATGGAACAGAGGAGAATGTCGAATGTATTCAAGTGAGCACTAAGATTTATCAAAAACTGAGCAGAGCTCCTTGCTCTTATCTCGATGCCCGTTAGGCAACTGAGGCTGTGCAGCTTTCAATCGTAATTACAAGAAAGCAAGGGTTTGAAGAAGCAGAAAAGATAAAATAGGAATTTTGCGTCGAAAAAATGCTGTTGGAAGCTTGTAAGGGCTTTAGTCAAAACACTTCACTGACCGTTTGGGGATTGTATTCTTCATATGTGCATGAATGTGAATGTACAAGAATGTAAAATACTCAGTTGGCAGGCAGCAATTAGTCAGTACCAAAAGCTATGCGAGTATTTAGACATTCATGTAAATACTAAGGTGAATGGGTTTAATTTTTAATGAAGAAACTGACAAAAATAATATTAAACTTAAGAAAATGCGACAAAAAAAAAAACTACTAAAACGAAAGGCCCTGCCAACAAAGTATGCAAAAAAATTGATTTATCGAAAAAAAAATTCTGCTCAATTATACTTCTACAACCCGGAGAATGTAACTTAAAAAAGCCAAAGGAAAAAGTCAAGTATTCAAAGTTAGGTTGACTGCAAAACCAAGACATTGGTGAATATGCAGGTGTTCGTGTTTTCAACTTTAGTTTACATTTCCTACAATAAATTATTTCAGCTGGCCTTTATTTTTACAAGTCATTTACGAATTGTTTATGTTATTTTTTGTTTGTGCCTACTTTGTTGTAATGTTGTTTAGTTTTCCAAAAACCCTCCAACATTTCCTCTACAAACTGCAGTTGTACACTTTTTCCATTTGTTATTCTTTGTTGAATTCAGTCGAGGGGTCAGACACAATAACTTCATTAGGGCGTGATTTTTTGCCTCCGACTTAGAATTGAATCACCTGCGCCACCGAAGGTGTTGTCAATCTATGCTGTGGGCGGTAGATTGTGAGATGGCAGAGAATTTTGTGAGGGCAATGAAACTTAGATTTAAAAGTAAGGTCAATGTAAACAAAAGACACAAAGTCAACAAAGCGCCAAAAGGAAGAAAAAACACAACATTAAGTAAGTCATTTGGGCTTGAAAAAAAGAAGAAGTATAGATATATATGATACAAAATGAAATGACGTAACTTTAGCAAAGTGAATGCAATGATCAGGCCTAAAAATAATTGGGAAATAAGGGACATCATGACAAACAAAAAATAAATAGGCAGAAACTTAAAAACACACAAGTTTATTTGTATATCTTTTATTTGTTGTCGAAATTAGATTGCTGCCAAATTTTGTATATGTAAATATATGTACATGTGCGCATACATATGGTTGCACGGAAACCCATTGTCGGACGTAAAGTTTCGACATATCCCCAAAGCAACACACCTTCGTTTTAACTGACGGTAAATATAACAAGTTGTTTTTAGTCGTGAATGTTCTGGGCTTGCTAAACTTGTTACGTTGTGTTTGCGCCTAAAAATATGTTTTAGCATTTTAATTTGAAATTCTAATTTTTGCAGCAATTTGGAACAACATGACATTGCCCACCCACACGTTGTCGCTGCGGTTGGTTAAATCCATGTAAATATAGTAAAAAATAAAAATATAAATGTATATTTAGGGCTTTGTGAGGTGCATATAGGCGATAGCAGAACTTCCATACGATGGATCTGTGGGCTGTATAAGGTATTGGACTACATTGACATGAATACGTTGGCTACGTCATATTGTCATCAAATGGATGGAAGAAACGATGCAAGACCCATCGTTGTAAATAGAGAAGAGGCTAACTTTAATAGAAGAATCAGTTGGAAAAGCACGGGGTTCTAACTTGTTGTTTTCAAGATGTAAAGAAATTTGTGGTATCACAGAAGAAGAAAAAGTTCGACTGGCATGATACAATCATACAATCCACCGAATAGGATTAAGAGGAAATTATATAGAAATTTAGTTTATTAATAAACATTAATAACAATGACATCATCCCTCTTCTATCGTAACCCCAGACGATCTCAATAGTCGTGGTTACTTAAACCGCTGAAATACGCAATTCATTATCTTGGTGCAATCGACCACGATTTCTTTCCTGTATTCGAGGTTGGCCGATAACAGTAGCTTTTCCAACTTCATGAACATGACAAACCGCAAATAAAATTAAGCAATATGGCAATCTCCGAATGCAAGTCTGCTAGATATCTGGGCACTCACTTAGATTGACGATTGTCTTGGATAGCACACAATCTTCTCACTCTATGATCAAATAAGATTCTCTTATACAAACTCGAACAGAATTGCCTCGAATTACAATTTAAAATTTCTCCAAAGTTTTAATCCAAGATACTGCGAGTCTTGACAAATGCTCCCCTGCTCATTAAAAACGCTTAAATTATCATATGAATATCACATATGACCATCTTCCCTACTCCTAAACATACTCTCTTTCTCACCCCACAAAGCCCTAAATCTTTCTCTCGAAAGCTCCCAAAGTCCCTCGTCAGACGTTTTGAACACCCACGTTATGCATCACAAGGCAGAAAGAAATAAAATGAGCTACTTTTATGAGAGAGACATTACTTTACATTACTTTGCTCTTGCCTACTTAGTCCTAAGTAGCTCATATTCTTGGCAGGGTGATGGTTATTTGTAATTATTGTTGATATGGAGTATGCTGCTCCTTCCTATTTTCTCCACATGACATATTATTTTCTCCGGCATTAAAATAAATAGATAGTTCCATTATTTTTTTTTGTATCGGACAGGTCAGTGAGGCTCTTTTTTGATAGTTCACACAGCTGTATAAGCTTCATTTCTATAATTTGGAACTAGAACTCGACGGCTATCGTGGCCGTCGATTAAGCTACAAGCCGTCGGTTAACTACAAGAGCTACAAGAAGTTAACCAAAGATATTGCGGCGCGTAAGTTAGAAGGTATGGGCCCTCGTGTATAAGTTCAGGAAAGTGAGGAAACTTTTTGGATGTCATTCACCTTGGAGGGGTCTGAAAGCATACTTTTGCATATGGTTCCAGCAGCTCACGACTTCCAGTCTAAGACTAACAACAGCAGTGGAAAATGAACGACCAGCTCTGAAACTACTCTGCAGAGGCCTTAGGAGTTAATTTATATCGATAAAATCAGGTATTTGGTATGTACCAAGCATCTCAAACGCCATCGCAAGCTTAGGTACGGTACTTATGGTCCTAAAATCACAAGCCAATGAAGCGTCTGTTTTTTTTTCTTTTTTTTTGACTATTGGTATGACATTTCATATCTTCCAATTGGATGGAAAGGCTGAAGAGCAGATATTCATATAAAAATATCACCTCCATAAGGTAAAGCGCTATGCGCTTGTTGAGTCATTCTGGTCGCAGCAGTTAAGCTCTCATGAATATTTAAAGTGCCTTAACTATTAAAACCTGCTAGCATAAGATGCGCCGAAGATTTGTGCTCTAAACAATTTTCTTGTTTAACGCGTCTTCCTTAAAAAATAGACTGATATTTAACTAGTATAAATTTGATTTATTATTTATCAACTGACATTTCTTGGAACATCCTCGTTACTAGTTGTTCACATGAGAAAATGATGAAATGAAAGTGATAGATACGTGATAGTATCAATATGGCTGGATAGTACGAGTATACCAGTTGCTGCGTGCAGGGTATATCCTAATGGTATCTTAGTACGTTTAATGCTTATGCCACACTACCGAATCTAATGTAAAGGAAAACGGCTCCGATATTTCTATTGTATTTGTCTTTTATTTAAAAATTATATTTATGACATACATATATTTCGTAAAGTATGTAGTAAACATATGATTACATAATGCATATGTCTTGGTGTGTACATATATATTTATATTATAATTTTTACTACATATAATTAAAACAGAAACCATAATTTCTTACCGGTAACATTTTATAAATAATAAAATAGTTTTTATTTGCATTTCGTAGTTCTCAAAGAAAATGACTTATCTAATAATAGTTTAATTAATGTATGTGTATATTTCTCGTTAAAGAACATATAATTAACTGAAATAAAATAAGAAAATCGAAAATAAATTTAACAATAATTTGCATACAAAAACATATTTTATAACTTAAATAATTAGCATACAAATATATGTAAACGTAATTATATTTATTAGTTTGCATGTCGCGCATCAATCTCGAATCCAGTAGAGGAGGACTCCTGCCTGCTGCCAGCGCCACGCTGGCTGGTGATGATACGTGATTAAGGCACAACAAAAACAACTGTCTTTCAACGAAGAGCTTTTAAGCTCAATTAAAAAAAAAAATATTTCATTTAAACCTATTAGTTAAACATTCGAGTTTAATATAAAACAAAATAAAGTAAAATATTTGAGAAATAAAAATTAAATATTTAATTTCACTAAGAATACATACAACTTGGCGAAAATGTTCGTTAACAAAAATTCTAATCCGTATTTAACGGTTTTCCAAACAAACCATAATGTTGTGCGAAATGTCATAACATCAACTTTTTTGTCGTAACATAATTTTAAATTATATGTAATAACATAAATTTTTTTGCCACAACATAATATAATATTATATGTCATAACATAAATTTTTTTTTCATAACATAATATTATATGTCAAAACATAAAATTATTTGCCTAAGATTTTCAATTTTATTTAATTCATTTAACAGTGTTTTTTTTTTTGTCATTAGTCTTCTGAGTCACAATAATCGCGAGTTCGCATGTGCATAGCTTGGCGCCTTAATGCTATCCTAATTATTCGTTCACTTCATACATCTCCCTCATGGCAGCAGCCGTGGATTGAAGCGTCCCATGAACAATATGATGCCGGTTGGATTATGACGCACAAAATAGAGGAACGGTTTGTCGAAACGTAGTCTTGGCGCATCGGGCACACGCGCTTGCCTTGGCCGCAGCGATAGTGGCAACTCTAGATATTTGGGATCGAGTAAATCGTCGTAGAACCCACGACCGAGTGCAGACTCATGCACCAGCGAACCAAAGTCGATGACAGCTTCCGAAGAGTCATAAGCGCCATCATCATTTGCGCCCAAATCCTTGTTACGCTTGCGTAATGGCGGTGCCGGATACATTTCCACATGGTGATGATCGGCGATCTTCTCCTCACCGCATGTGCTGAATGTGTTAATCTGTATGACGTCCGAGAGATAGATGTCACGATTGGAGGAGCCGGTAAGACCGCGCAAGTCAGCGAAATCAGATTTGAACAGACCTTTTAGACCCATTTTCTGCAAGCCCAGCGAAGCATTTACGAAGGATCTATGCGAGAAGCGTGGCAGCTGCACTTCCATGCCAGGGCGATCCATCAATGCGGTAAGTATATTGCTCCAGGCATTTTTGCTAAATGCTTGCTCGACAAGCTCACGCTCGAGACGCTCCAAACTTTCAGCCGGTGAGAGTGTACTCTGATGACCGGGCATAACATAAACTGTGCTCACCGTGTCTTGTATACTACCGAATGCTACAATAGTTGCATCCAATTTGGGCTCGTAGCCGGCGGTGAAACCGCTCTTATACAAAACGGCTGGTATGGGTATGAGACGACGCTGACGTACTGAAGGATGAACTTGGAAGAACATTTCACCGTCGGTCAGTTGTGTAGAGCCGTGTCGGCAGTCGGTTTGGAAGAGATTTGCGGAGACTGTTGCCAGTGGTCCATTTACCCACAGGCTGTTGGTACGTAAATACTCCAACACTTTACCCATTGTATGACGCTTTACCAGCAGATTCGTGCGTCGGCGTATGACATCATTCACCACATGGAAATTAACTTCCTCCACGTGTCCCGAGTAGAATTGTTGTGTCTTCTCTTTGAAGAATTGCAATATTTTGCCATTTGCACGATCACTGAAGATTTCGCGCACGAATGCTGTTGTCGCAATATCGCTATCGGTTGCACGTTCTACAGAGTCAGTGATATTACGGAACACGAGATGGGGATTGAAGGTTACCATATCGTCCAATTTCAGCACTTCGTTCATCTCACCGGATGTGCTGCCACGTGCGCCGAGGAAAACCATTGAAAGCATCGAGGTTAGAGCAAATGGTGAGACAACCAAACTACGCGCCGAACTAATCTTTTCCGATGTAATGGACTTCCAGTAGCTAAATGCCAATTCATTGCAGAGTTTGACGAAAGATTGCAGATCCTCATCTAAGCTGGTTATGGATGCCTCAAGCCCCTTTGAATTAGCGGGACTTGGCTCCATTTTAACAGGAGGGCGTGTAGCTTGCGTGGAGGTGGCCATCAAGTTGTTTAGCTGTGCGGGGCGCTGCATGGGTCGTTGTTGTGCAGTATTGGCCGAGTAGGGCAGGACTTTTGTCGGCTCTGCCGGTTTAGGTGCATTTATGCCAGTGTGTTTGTTGTAGTATGAGACGGGCTTCAGTGTATGTATACGCTTGGTGGTCGTAGGTGTTGGCTTCGCTGTTGTTGTAGAGGTCATAGTTGTTGTACTCATTGTCGTAGGTGCAGCAGTTTGCGCGGTTGTTGATAGTGCCGCCAGCACGGGACTTGTTGGGAATTTTGGTATGATATAAGTGGTCAAGTCTCCTATATCGACTGCAGTTTGCGGATCAGGACGATATTCATAATTGAGTTGTGGCATTTGTGGGCGGTGTTGTGTTATGAATGATTGCATGGGTTTTGGTATGTGTTTGATAGGTATTTCCTCTGTGGAGACAGTTAGTTCCAGGAACGGCGTACTTGAAAGTTGTTCCACTACCTTTGCTGGTTCGGACTCAGCATTCTTTGCTGGTTCAGCTTCCTTTACTTCCTTTACTGGCTCAACCTTAGTCCCTTGTAGTGTTTGTATATCCTCCCCTGATTCTTCGGTGGATTCTTCTTCTTCGGGTGTCGTCGTTTCGGCCATATCTTGTTGTATTGGCTGGGGTAGTGTTGGTGAGGTAAGCTCGACATCTACTTCCTCATCAATTGGTGTTTCTTCTTCAACACTAGTGCTATCCATGGATGTATTTAAGTTGGTCAGCTCTCCGCTATGTTTTGTTGTTGATTCACCTAGTTTAATGTATGGATCCTCATCCGATTCCGTGCTATCTATTTCATCAGAAATTGTAACAGTAACATCTGTAGCGGCTTCAGGTTCTATTCCAGAACTTTCTTCATCGAGAACCGTGCTACTAGTTGTTGTACTCTCTTCCGCGGGCAATGTTGTTGTTGTCTCACGTTCTATTGCCTCGCTGCTGGCTTGTTCTTCTAACTCATAAGAGTCATATTTCGTTGTTGTTGTGGAGGGTGGATTGGTATATTGTATTTGTAAATCAGCCGCATCGGTCACGTTGTCTTCCTCGTTGCCCGTGGTAGATTTTTCTATGGACTCCTTCAGTGCTTCTGTAGATGTTTGCTCGGTGTGCACCGCTTCCGTCTCCTCGGCAGTGGTATCTGAGTGTACTGGTGAGTTTGAGGTCTCGTGTTCGTTGGGCAACTTATCTATAGATTCCTTCTCGGTGTCTTTTTCGTAGGATTCTTTTTCATGCTTTTCTTTGTCAGAAATTACGGGCTCACTAATTTCCTCTGAGTAAGTGATTTTTTCGTTCGCAATGGGATTGGCGTTGCTCTCGGCTTCATTCGACTCATTTTCATTAACTGAGCTTGGAGTTTCTGTTATGCCGCTCACATTCAATTCGCTTTCAGCATTTGTGATACTTTCTTTCTCCTGTTGCAGATCTTCGCTTGCGTCCGACAATTCAATTTGCATTTCTTGAGTATCGTTAGATACTTCGGCTGTCTGTACTTCTATTTGACTTTCTTCACCTACTTCACTGGTTGTTTCTTCGGCTGGCTGCACTGTGTGTTCGTCCTCAAATAATTTATCTTCCGCTGTAGGTGCAAATTGCGTAGTCTCATCCATCGGGATTCTCTCCGTTTGTGTAAGGTATTCTTCAGTGGCTTGCTGTTCAATATTCGGGCTTACCTGCTCACTGTCTTCCTCTACAGGGTTCTCGTTACTCGCAATTTCTTCGCTAGGTTTATGTTGCTCTTCTTCTATTTCTGTGATAATTACTTCGGCACTGGTCACTTCTTCCTTCTTTTCCTCGTTACTATTTTCGGTGCTCAATTGTTCTGTCAGTATTATTGTTTCTGATTCGGTAAGTGGTTCCGCGGAGCTTCCGCTTTCAGTAGATTGTTGTGGCGCCTTGTCGGGTCCTGCTTCATATAAAGGTCCCTTATCATCTTGCTCTTGCTGTTGAGTGGCATAGATTTCAGAGAGAGATGGGCCTAAGGTTTGGGGTTCATTCTTCGATTCCTCGGGTCTAGTCTCATCATTTGTCTGCACCTCCTGCTTTTCTGTACTTTCGGTGTAGGCTTGTGGTTTTTGTTTCAATTTTTCGTTCTCCTCTGTGCTTTCTTTGGGGCGTGTTTCCTGCTCACTGCTAATCTGCGCTTGTGTTTCTGCCTTATCTAATATCTCGTATTTTTCGGTGCTGTCCGTCTGAGTGCCCGGCTTCTGTGCTATTTCTGCGCCGTGCACTGGGTTCTCCAAAGACAGTTCAGCTTTATGTTCCTTCTCATGCTCCTTCTGCTGTTTCTCATTACTCTCTTGTGTCAGTGTTGGTTTTTGTTCCTCCACGGTGTCGTCTTCTTTTGAGGCATACGTTAAGACCTCTGTTACCTGATCTAATTCTGTTGTTAAATCATACTCAGTATCGTCGATTGGCTCAGGCGCCGGGACCAACAATGGCTTCACATTGGGTTTATCTGCAACGGTGGGTGGCGCTTTCGTCGCACTTATAGGTACTATTGAGTCACTGTAAATAGGCCTTTCACTTCCTTTCTTACTATCGGCGGTCGCTAATTGCGTTGGCTTCAGTAAGAAGGATGTGTTTAGCTGTGCGAAGTTCGTTACACGATTGCTATCCTCTACTGGATCCGGACGATATTCAATTGGCTGGTTCACAGCCATTTGTTGCAGTACATCGGAGAGCAGGAAGTCAATCTCGCTTCTGGTCTCATTGGAGTTCATATTTAGATCTGCAGCAATTGTATTGGCGCCATCAACCAGCGTTGAGGCTATGGTGGCCGCCTGTGTTTGGAAGTCAGCCATGTTTATTTGATCAGTTGGTTTTACTACATCCATGTTCAAGTGTGGCTTAAGATCGGCTACCAGTGGTGCTGGTTCCGTTGTTGCGGTGTTCTCTGCTATTATGGTTTGTACTTTCTGCGCCACCGGGAGCTGCATAATTGTAGGTATTTGATATTCTGTGCTACTATCAGTTTGCACATTCACTTCATCGATGATTTCAACGACGGTCGTATCATCGTTCGTGTGTTCCAGCTTGCTGACTGTGGTCTCATCGTAGGGCGTGACGGTCGTTGTTGGTACATCACTTATTATTGGCTCTTGTACATCAGCATAGAGTGGCTCAAATTTAACTACATGTGAGAGATCTTCTTCTCGTTCTGACGTCGTCTTATCTTCAAGTACCGCTACGTCGACTGTTTCACTAACAGCTGGTGCCTTCTGCTGTTCTTCTGTGAGATGGTTTGGCAGATTTTCCTGCGACTCCTCAGCTAATACTTCGTTTACTGGCCGCGTTGTTGTCATCTGCTTTGTGACCTCTTCAGATGTTGCCGCAAGCGTTGGTGGTCGCATGGTTGTAATTAATTCGGGTACAATGTCCTCTTCAACTACAGTCATTTCCTCTTGTTCCATACTGACCGTGTTCACTGCATTAATGCTTTCTTCCTTTTGTATCAGAGCTTCAGTACTACCGGTGCTAATGAAAAGTGCGTTTGGCGCGCCATCTTGTGCTGAAGTTTCAGAAACGTTTGCTGTGTCTTCCACTTTAAATGGCTTGTCGGTTACAGGTCGTTTCTCAGATGCACTCGATTCGCTGATGTCGCCATTCGCATCATCCTTGTTTGCCAATTCCTGCTTTAGCGACTCCATTATTTGATCGAAAGCTGTTAAAGTGTTTTGCTCATGTAATAATATTGGCCCTTCTGGTGGTGTGTGGTGCTGTTGCTGTATCTGGGCAAGTGATGGCAAGGGTTTGCGCTTGAGCTGTCCGATATCTGTGGAGTCAGGCTCGTTGCCCTCCTGCTCTTCATTATGTTTTGTGGGTTTGTAGTGTGGCACTGGGTAGTGGGCTACACCGGGGCGCTTGTTGGCATGGGAAGGTTTGACATGTATGGGATGGTAGCCGGGGAAATGCTCCACAATCAATGTGCTCTCTGTTGTTGTTATTGCACCGGTCGTTGTCGTTATAGGTGCGGGTGTGGTGGTGGAGGTAGTGGTACTTGTAGTGGTTGTTGTCGTTGGCTCTGGTGTTGTTGTCGTTGTCGTCGTACTGGTTGTTGTTGTCGTCGTTGTTGGCTCGGGCGTTGTGGTAGTTGTTGTTGTGCTATGTGCTGGCTTCTTTTGTGGACGTGGTCGCGCTTTATTTGGTTTGTGACTCACAGTTGCATTATGCTTGTGGATCGCTGGCTCACCTGAGCTTGGTGATACAGTGATCGGTACATCGGCGGAGATATGATGTTTATTTCCATGGTTTTGAGTGGTGCCCTCGCCAGGTTGTGGATGTTTGTTCCCATTATGTTGGCTGGCGCTTGTAGGGCGCGGCTTGCCTGTGGTCGGTTTACGTTTATCAGAAGCGGCATGTGGCTTACCATTACCCAGACCAGGTTGGCGTGTTGGCTTTTTCTTCTTCTTTTTGGGTGTGGTGGAGCTTGGTATAGGCGCGATCGTTGTTGTAATTGGTTCTGGTGTAGTCGTTATGGGCGCTGGAGTAGTTGATGTGGTTGTTGAAGTCGTTGTTGTGGTTGTAGTCGTTGTTGTGGTTGTAGTTGGTTCAGGTGTAGTTGTTGTAGTCGTTGCCGTTGGCTTCTTTTTATTTTTATTCTGTTTATTATGACCTCCCAACGGTTTTCTAGTCGTATGCGCTGCCTCTCCAGCATGCTGTGGCTTGTGTCGATTTGGACTTACCGGCCGCTTATGCACCACCACCGGTGGTCTCTTGCCATAACTTTCGCCTAGCTCAACCTTGTCTGCTGACACTGCATTTGGGCGTGCTGTGGTTACACTTTGTATGATCTCCTGGTTGTTGACAAAAACGCGTCGTGTAGTGGTATCCACTTCGGTGTGCTCGGGCAGTTTGTGATAGATCGGCTGCATTTGAAGCTGTGAAAACCCATCGAAATGCTGCATATTTGCTGCAACGTTCTGATACTGTTGCATGCCAGTGTAGACAGACTCGTGCGGATCTAACTCCTCCTGCACAACTTGTGGTGTCACCGCCGTCGATGTTGTCGTGGGCGCCGGCGTAGTCGGTTTACGCTTCTGACCTGGCTTACGTTTGTTCGGTTTTGGTCGCTTCGTGTGGGCGTGTGCAATTGGCATTGTTGTGGTAGTGGATGCCTCAAGCAATTCTGAATCTGGTGTCATGACAATCTGTTGTGGCTTCTGTTGTGGGAAGATATCACCACCGCCGTTACCGAATATCGCTGGTAGGATCATCGACCACGATGACGACACATCGGGTGTATCGAGTACGGGTAGCGCATCTTTAGAAATATTCTTATTCGACTCCACTTCCTTATTTAATACATCCTGTACGCTATCAACGATATCTTGTACGTTCTTTTCCGGTTCTCGATCGCCCACGGGCACATGCTGTACAATTGATGAATTTTCGCCATCACCATTTGCCACAATACTTTGTATCTCTTCCATGGTCATCAACCGCTTAACCAGCTCACCATTCTCATCGAATGTGTAGAACTCGTAACGATCGGGGTTGAGAAGATCAATTGGGCTAGCAACTTGGAGAGAGGGTTGTGGTTTGGGCACCTTGTGTCCCAGTGCGTCGGTGAACTCGGGCTCATCCCCATTGAGTATTACGGAAACGGAGGTGACAACGCTGTATAAAAGAAAACAAACTATTTAAAAAAATGGAAAATTTTGCTTTAAAACTACTTCAAAGTCTACAGATAAGATTATTTTCAATAGATGTGGGTGGGGAAAAAATTAAAACTAAAGCTTCTCCGGCGAACTCAAATAGTTTACATTATACAAAAACTGACCAAAGTCAGTTGCAAATACTGCCGAAATTCGAAGAGTTGTATGAGGTGTATACTCTCTGAAAAAAACGAATATTAGTAAAGTTAGAGAAGTCCTGCAAGGCTACCAGAAATGACGGGAGGCTGCAAATATGAACGTTCCTTGCCCGAGGTAGTGCAGTAGGAACAAAAAGTAATGGGAAAATATTTTGAAAATACATTAAGTCATACAAGTCCTAGAAGTGGTTTCTTCAGATGGAGAGTTAAGACTTTAACAAGTTAAATCGGGTGCTTTTAAGTTCATTCTGTGAATGAGGTGACGAAAGGCCTAACTCTTATTTGTGAGTACTGAAGTTTCCTCTAAAACCATGGCGACGAAATAAAATAAAATAAAATAAAATTATATAAGTAAAATAAAACAAAAAAATTATATATAAAATAAATAAAAATTAATACAAATAAAATGAAATTAAATAAAGTAATAATAAAATAAAATAAATTGAAAAAAAAAGAAAGTAAAGTAAAAAAAAATTAAAATAAAATAAATAAAAAATAGTATACAATAAGATAAAATGAAACAAGTTAAAATAAATGAAATAATTATATATATTTATATTTGGCGCTTTTTAAATGCCATATATATAATAAATTACATTAAATGAAAATAAACAAAAAATAGATTAAAAAATTTATATAGAACGCTAAGCCAATAGGTTTAATATTTTTTTTAGAATATTCAAGAAAATTGTTTAAGAGAGTACAATAGAAAGCTTCACGAGCTCTATATTATCCGCTTTAACTGTTTGCAAGACTACATCAGTTGCATATTCCATTCTGCTAATGGTACATATTAAATTATTTAACATACAGTTGAATTGTTAATAAGAAATTTCGACTTAAATATTTTTAATAATTTCTAAATAGAGATTCCATGATGAAATTGAAAGAATACATTTTTAAACTCATTTTACTAATTTATTAGTTTCATAATTTTTTTTTATAAAGATGTTGAATTTGCACTCGAAGCACCATGAACGATTTTCTCTACTCCTATTAATTTTAATTTATTACATTTCATTGAATATTTGCTAACAGCATAATCTATCACTTGATATCATTCACATATCGTTGCATACTTTTAAGCGCTTTTCATCTGACTCAAATCAGTGCAGTTAAATTTACATATGCAAAGATTACATTTCCATAAATACATGAATTTATTGTTGCATAACAGCATCAACATGTGCCGAAAAGAAATACTTAATTCGTATGACTTAGCATGGCTTTGATATGTTTGTATGTACACTAGTAGGGAAACAGCAAAACATAAAATATAACGGCATTGAAGTGATTTCACAAATACACATATAAATGCATGCTAGTATTATAATCCACATTTTTTTACAAACAGTTTTGTGAAAAATGATTTTTATTGAATAATTTGGCGGAATGCAAAACCCTTTATTTTGTTTGGATATTCCTTTTTTTCTATTAAAGTATTTTCATACATACACGTATGAAGGCACTTACGAGTTGCAATGTATCAAATGCATACTTGCAATGGATTGAAATAACAAATGATTTAGATTGAATATTATGATACTTCGAAGGGTATTTGCTGAAAATATTAACGCTATCAATGGGGGAGTACATTAATCACTAATGTAAGCTAACAGCTACTTTTTGGTTTCTACTAGTGAATTATGAAGCTCAATTGCAATGTCTATTCCACTTAGTACACATTTTTAAAAGTTTTGAAATGATTGAGGCTTTTAGAATATTTGGCTATCACCAAAATTGTACTCTCCTATTAGAAACCGAAAGTCGCTGAAGCGATTACGATACATATATATATAGGTATATTAGAACCGCCAATGAGATATCAAACTGAAATAAGATCATATTTTATATCATATTAGAAAACATCATATTTATCACATCACTTATTATATGATCATATCATATTGGATCATGTTATAACATACACTTCATATCATATCATATTAACTTATATCTCCTTATATCATATCATGATTTATTTATCCTTATCACATCATATCCTGAAATATCACATGATATCATTTCATGCCTTAGCATATCACATAATCATCATAATCGTATTTATTATCTCGTTTCATATCCAATCTAGACAAAATATGTTCACGAAACATTTTATAAAAATTCATTGGGTTATCTTAACATACCTTTATAATATATTACGACAGTCATAAAATATATTAAACCATAAAGTATCACATCTTATTAAAATATGATATCATATCACATCACACAATAACATAACTCTTTATTATATCACATTATTACGCATCATATGATATGATATCATATCACAAAATACCAGATCATACTATATTATAGAAACATTTAGCACGTCATATTATAACTTATCATAACATAAAATAAGCATTTTATATCTTATCACATCATGTGATATCATATCATATCAAAGACTTTTTTTAACATGTATCAGATCATCTCATCATATCATATCGTATTATAGTTTTCTGTTATAGCATAGCAAATTACATAATGATTATTATGAGCAACATATTTATATCATACAATATTATAACATATCATATCACAACGTTTCATATCTCCGTTTTTATGATATCATATTTTATCATATAATATCAGATGATACCATATGACATCATATATTATACCATATCGTTTCGGTCAAAATAATGCTTTCGAATTTTGCAGCAGTAAATGAATCGTTGAATTTTCATCAAAAATAAAGCTTTTAACTATCAAAATCATCAAGGGTTGTAAATAAAAATTTCAAACATAGCCTAACCTAACTACGAAAATTTCTTTTTTTTACTATACAAATCCTTGGCTCAAACTTTCAGCATAAAATATTTCTATTATCCCGCAGCACATAGTTTTGCGCCTGGCGAAATTCGGTTATTTCCTTATGCGGCTATTTCAATTTTCCATTTTCCCACAACACTCTCACCGTGTCTTCCCTCTGTTGCCACAATACTAGCTGTCATGCTTATCCTGCCATAGTTGACCACCGTCACGGACTATTGAATGCCATATGACATTTTTGTCAGCGCAAATTTGCATGCCGCTGACTCCATGCCGCTCACGAATATCCACACATAACTGCGGGTAGAGTAACAAGTTGCTGGTACTCGATAGATATGTGTACATACAGCGATGCTTTTGGGCAAATCAAATAATACGCGTACGCATGCATTCCATTAGATTTCTAGTACTACAAGCGTAATTTTCTCAAACATTTTGCATATTCATGAATGGCAGACGTGTTGCAAAACTACTGGTATTTCATATACCAATGTTTGAATGTATGTTTGTTTGTATGTATATATGTACGTACGTGGATGAAATATATATGCCATAAGGGTATACCCATTCGGCGGCTTATGTGCTCACATGTGTCTGTACATATATATTGGAAACGTACTTTTAACTAGTTGAGAATAATGCATTAAATATGAATTCGAGTGTTATAAGGCTTAAACCTTTTCGATATACTTTTTTTTTTTTGTTTTCAAAAATAAAAAAACGATGGAAAATTACCAGAGGCTAAATTAAGTGTGGTGTTTTCAATAGCCATCGATATAAAATGCTATACATACTACGCCGTCTAATGGCTTTAATGAAATAACTGAAATTTTCCAAAAAGTTAAGCTCATTAAAATTGGCAGAAAGTTAAGAAACGGATTTTTTATTTTTGGTAAAAAATTTATCAGCTCCTTAATTTAATTAATTTATCTGTAGCCTGTAAAAAAAACTTGTATTGTCAAAGTCTAGCGCAGGTTCTTAATTAAAATGTGAATATTTTCTAAACTTCAAAAGGTCACATCGTTAAAAGCGCTCAAAAAAATTGTTTGCCAATTACTCTTCACCCAACGACATTTTTATTTTTATTTTATTTTATTTTTTTTTTTTTTTAAATATTAGTACTTAAAAGCAGACACTAATAAAGGTAATAAATTCATAATAAAAGGGTTGTTGCGGCAACCAAACATTATTTGGTTAATCGATAAAGTGGGTGTAGGGTTGAAAATAACTCGGTAGTTTAAGAAAATAGACGAAGAAGAAGAAGAAAAAGTGGAGAAAAAAGCGTAATTGAAATAAAGAAGAGCAGAAGGAGTGTACAAAAAAGTTACTAAATTTCGTAGTCAAAGAAATTTAAAAATAAATGAAGAGCATGCAAAATGAAACCGCCACTAATTACTTCATTGAAAAGCGCAGAGTCGCGTTGCTACTACTTTTTTTTCTTTTTTCCTGCAATATTACTCTGTATCTAGAGGAAGGGGAAATGTCTTGACAAGGCGACTATGTATTAAAGGGCGAAATTGTTGTGTAAATATGTAGTGGAAAGCCGTTTGTGTTAGTAAAGTTAAATTTTTTTTAAATACTTGAAACTTTCGCAAAATTGGTTATGAAAATTCTGAAATCTTTTCTATTTACTATAAAATTTGGTTAGTTAGTTATTAGAATTGATTTATTTTTGATTTGAAGGCCAAATTTACTTTAAAAAATCTACAAGCCGTTGTGGTGAATTTTTTAAAATACTTTATAAAAAAATTATTTTAAGCACCACAAGTCATACATATGAGAAATAGATCGTTTTGAGTAATTTGACTTCAAATTATTAGAAAAAAATATTTTATTTTAGTTTAAATAACCATTAATAAAATATTATTATAAACTTTTGTAGTCATTGCTTGTATAAAATAAAAAATATAAAATCATGCAAAAATAATAATAAAAATATTATCTAAATATATAAACTGTATATAATAATTCAAAATACTTATTCTAGGCGAAAAATTAGCTAATCGCAAAACTTAGAAGAACGTCCTCTCTATGCTTAAAACTGACCGTCATGGGGCTTTAAATGGTCTAAGCGCATATTAGGAGTTCTGAAATCTGTAACAATACCAACAAAGGCAGTAGAGAATTGCTGCAGTTGACTGAACATGCTGTTTACGTAGGGCTCTTTGCACCCAATATGGATGCTTGGACAGCATAGCGCTTGTAGTTTCACCTTCGCTCTCATGGGAAAAGTTGGCATGTCGCTCTCCAGTTGGGAGCTAACAACAAGTGAGACTTTTTTTTATCACAATCGCGAGCTTACGGTAGACAAGTATTAATGGTGGGTTCAATTGGTCAAAATTAATGTGACTAACTAGTTATAAACGAGCTTACTGCGTTAAAAGAGGAGATTATGAATCTTCTTGCACAGATGCTGGGCGTTGATTTTAACTGTTATCTGAATTTATCTATATATTTAGAAAATAACTTTTAAGTCTATTTGTTTTAATTTAATTTAATTTTTCTCGTAATTATTATCTTAGCGAGTTAGCAAACAGGGACAGAAATTGATCGGAGAGCCTAAACTTTAACCAAAAATCGGCATAAACAAGAAATTAAAATAAATATGTTTTATCTAATTTTCCCCTTACTCAAAAATGGATTTATATTTTCATATATAAAACTTAATACTCTTTTAAATTTTAGCTTATTTTTCGAATTTATTCTCTCCGAACGAATAGATTGAAAAAATTTGTTTTGTTAAAAATATTGAGATTTTTAAGCAACAAATTGCTTTTCAGCGGATTTTGGGTTTGGAATTTATTTCATTTAAAATAAGCATAAGTAAAGAATCAGATATACTCGTAAACTTTCTTCATATTGGATTTGAAGATTTTTGAAAAAATTTAAAAAAGATTCGTATTCAAATATTTTGAATCAGACGAATGAAAAATTATGTTTTCGAGTTGGATGGCACATGAAACCTTTATAATTCCGATGAATTCATAATGAAAATTAAACAATTTCGAGTTTAAAATATTTTAATTCTTTTTGCTAAAATTCAAATATACTGTTATTTGGTTCAATAAATCCAAAAAACTAATTATCATCCTTAAAATCTTAATTGTCAATTGGTAAGGAATAATTTTACTTACTACTAATTATCTCTTAATTTTAACTGACAATTAGTAGTCTTTCTCTCTTATCTACTTTATACAGGAGCTACAACGCAAAAGTCTCTAATGGTTTGTAAAAAATTTCTTTGTCATATAAAAACAATCCACTCACCTCGAACCGATAACTTTCTTTGATGATTCATCATCATTCACCGCATTTGAGGTCGTCACCGCCGGCTCATCATTAGCACCAGCTGGAGTAGCTGGTTGATAAGAAGCCTGTGTCTGTTGTGGGGTCACAGTAATATTATATGCAAGACCTGGCAACTGCGTACTTCCTTGCACTGTCGGTGTTGGCAAGTGGGAGTTGGATGTGACAACGGATGCCTTATGACCACCTGTGGTGATGGTAGTAGAGGTTGCTGGACGTTTAGTCGACGACGATTTTGTTACGCCCCCAATACCACTACTGCTGCTGCTCGTTTTAGTTGTGGTTATATAAGTGATGTTGGTATTTGGACGTTTTGTTTTAACTTGTTGTTGCTGTTGCTGTTGCTGTTGTTTGCTTATTTGCGGTTGTGGCAGGCGAAATTCGTAGGCACCACCAGTGCCCAAAATATCACTCGCCTGCTCGTCCACAGCATCGGGTCGTGGATCATTTGCATAGCTGCTTACCAAACTGCTACTACTGCTGCTACTGCCGCTTGTCGCTTGCCGTACGTGCGCCGCTTGAGTGGCTACCGCGAGCAGGCCGACAGCTGTCAGCAGCCACAACACGTACGAACGCATTGTCGCTGCGGTCGTGATTATACGACCCCTCACTTACAAAACCTTCGACTTGGCAAACACAGTCGCGAGCGAACACGGTCTGGTATTTTTTCCTTGTCCTTCTGTGGTTTTTAATTTCCAACGCGTTATGATGAAAATTCGCTTTTGATCGCTGTTATTCTTTTTTTAGAATTACTCTTCGTTTGTTTTATAAATGCTTTTTTATTTACACTTTTTCGAATTTCGGTCTTCGTATATTTAAATAATTTTTAATATGTATGTTTGCAGCTGCACTCGTCTACTTCACCGTCAATTCAGATTCATAAAAAATAATGGAAAATCTGTAAGGTGGATAAGAAAAAAGATCGGAATTAATTAATGTGAAAAATGTGTATTTATAGATATTTAAAAGAAAATATGATAGAAAAGAGCTTGCACCTGATAAAATATGATAAACAAAATAAAAGCAGTGGACGCTGAAAAAATGCTCTAATAAACATAAGCCCTAACTTTATTATCACGACAACAACAAAATACTAATATAAACAATTTTCGCTCTTAAATTTCCGCACCACATTTGTTGCCTAGTGAACCAGTAGCGAGTTTGTTGATTGTTTTTCTGCCGCCGTCACCATCGCCCACCATTCACTGTCAGTGCCTTTGAAGTGGTAATCTCTACGATTGACATAAAGTATTTATCGCAACTGATTTGCATCATAAACAGCTCTCCTATAGTGAGCGCAATTTTAACTTTCCTTGTTTTCCTTTTCCGCATTCCTTCTCATTCCTTTCGACTTTATGTCAACATTATGGCGTGCTATTTTTTGTCAATATGTCATAAAATTAATCTAAGTACACTGGTTGCCCGATTACGCTGTGCCAAAGTAAGTAAATTACAATGAAATAATGATTGAAAATAAATTAACTTAATAAAAATAAAAAAAAAATTCTTAAAAGTTTTGATAAATACTCCTTAATAAATATTTGATTATCATGTTGTAAAAATTTAAATAATGACTGTACTTTACAAAATAATTTAATTTTTTTTATCCAAGGTGGTTAAGGCTCAAACACTTTTGAGCTCGTCATGCCTCATGCCTCATGTATTATTATTTTTATTTTAATAAAAAAACAACTTTCGATTTTATTATTTATTTTTTAGCTACTTCGTTAAAACTCATTTTTAATTTTAATTTATTTCATTATGACCTTGGGTTCTTCCTTATATTTAATTCAAATTATTTTGTTTTTTTTTATGTTATATCTTTTCTACCTTTTAAACCGAATTTCTTTAATTTTATTTTAAATTAATTTTACACCAATTGATTTTATTCTATTTTCCTGTATCTTACTTCAGATTTTCATAATATTTTGGTTTTTATTACTTTATTTTTTCAGTTAATTATATATATAAGTTAATTTCAATTTGAATTTAATTCAATTAAATTTCATTTAATTTAATTTTGTTTCAATATATTTTAATTTCTTTTTTTATTTCAATTCATTTCACTTTATTCTATATTATTTCATTTAAATTTTTTAAGTTTGTTTATTTTGTTTTATTTCATTTTAATTTTATTTAGTAGATTTTATATAATTTTGATTTATTTAATATAATTTATTTTATTTTATTTATTTTATTTTATTTTATTTTATTTTATTTTATTTTATTTTATTTTATTTTATTTTATTTTATTTTATATTATTTTATTTTATTTTATTTTATTTTATTTTATTTTATTTTATTTTATTCTAATTAATGATATTTGGCGATATTTTATTTTATATCAAGCCATTTTAATGTTCTTTAATTATTTTGCATTATTTGGTTTTTTTAATTTCTTTTAAGTTTCTTTCTTTTGATATTCTTTATTTTAATTAATTTTAAGTAAATAGTTTTTAGTTAATTAATTTTATTTTATTTAGCTGATATTTTTAATTATTTTATTTAATTTTTAATTTCATTATTATTTCTTACTTTAATATATTTAATTTAATTTTATTTACATTAATTTATTTTATTGCTGTATAGTAAATTTGTAATGTTTTATTTGTTTGATTTTATTATGTTTATTTGATTTTTTTAATACTTAGTTTTATTTAAATATGCTTATTCTGATTTTAAATTATATTATTTGAAATTATTTCATTTAATTTTGTTAAACTTTATATTCTTTATTTTTGTTAATTAAGTTGATGTAATATTATTGTATTATTTTATGAACCTTGCTTTAATTTAAGTAATTGTTATTTATATCGTATTAATTTATAGTATTGTTAATATAATAAATTATTTGGGCTTATTTAAATTCATTTTTTCTTATGTTGAATCAAGGCAGTCGTTGGAAGCACTTTTGCAAGTTGCAGTGTTAAAAGTTCCAATTTAAAAATGCTGTCACGCATACGCCATGGTGTACCCAAGAGAACTTTCACATATTCACTCCAGTTTACACTCACTCCGTCTCCCTCTCTCCATTCTAAACGATAATTAAAGTCACCGAAACTTTTGTCAACAACAAGAGAGAATATGCGTCACAAGCATTTAAGAAAACCACGAGAATGCTCTAAAAGTTTTCTACAAAGAAAGGCAAAGTAGTGAATTGGCATATTATCTGCACTTAGTATTCCTTTTTTCTCTTGCACTCAAAACCAAATCTCACCAATTTCGACACTTTAACGCTGCAAGAAACCGCTAATGATATACGTACTTACGCGTTTGCTATTATTGTACACAATTGTTCTTGCAGCGGCGTTGTGCTGGCAATTAAGTGCAGAACACAGCAACACAGGAAGCCTAATGTGAAGGAGTTTGTTATACATATATATAAATACATACATATAGATATAAGAATTTTGTTTGTGTATTTGTGTTGGTGTACGTGAGTGAAAATATGTGATTAAAATAGAAATGCTAGAGAGAGTCATTGGCGTTGTCGTGGCTTTGGTGGTGTTGACTAAAGGCTTATTAGCATAATTACGCAACCCCAATGCAGCTTTGAATGCATTTTGCATAGTTCTTGTTGGTTAATTTTACATACATACGCGTATTTGTACATTAATATGCTTGTATGTATGCATTCGAATGTGCGAGTGCAAGCTTTGTCTGATTGTGCTGGAGGCGATTGCGTTTTGGGCAAATGATTTGCGGTTTAATTTCACTACTTTTGCTTTTGCACCCAATTTTTTTGTTCACTTCGGATTGAATATGTGAATGGTGGATATGCTATGAATTTAACATTCCAGTTGTTAAAATTTAATTGCCGCCGAGTTTAGTGAAATACTATTTTTTAACTAATTTAATACAATATTTTTTTTAATAATAAATTTATTTATTCAGTTATTAATGAAAAAAAATTATATATATTATATGAAGGAGCTTTCATTTTATGTCAAAACTGCATTTGGAGGGCTTGGAATTCTCCGCCGAGGAACAACTACAATTAGAAAAATTAATCTTGGTCTTCAGAATGACTCTTCATAGTGCTAACCATTTGAATATTGCGCTCCTTTAATAATATAAATATGTATGCATTTATTTTTGGATATTTATTTATTTATATCCATATATTCTGCCCCTTTTGAAGCAGGGAATGTTTAGCTATATGACCTTAAAGTTTAAAAACCCAATTGCGTAAGCTATTCATTTATATGAAAGCAATAATGGAATGCACTTCATAGAAAGATCCATAAAAATTACTATTTATTATGCTTAAATGATGGCATTTTATTCATATATGCATAAACAAATAAAAATTATATTGGATGCATATTAAACAAATTTTGGTTATGCATAAGTTTTTCTAACTCTCAATATTTTTAAGCATACAAATGAATTGAAAAAGAAAAAGGTGAAAGGTTGAGTTCAGAAATACTTTTTTATAACTATGATATTCATGTTTAACTTAAATTTGCGCTTTTTGAGAACGTGCTTCTGGTAAAACTACTTCGGCAAACTCTCACTAAGATGTTCTATGGTTTCTTATTTTTATATAGATTTATAAATAATATAATTGAGACATACAACATTTGAATATTATTCCAAATTGTCCCTTTATCCATATCAAATTTTCTCTCCTTCTTCATGTTGATAAATAAATATTTTATATATATATTCATGTCTGTAAATTTAGTGATTTCGGTTTTGTCATTTGGGTATTAAATGCAAAACAATATGTAAATATCATTGCATTAATTCACATTTAAAGTACCGAAATGACAGCTGAAATCTTTTGCTGTCAAAAATGTTTTCGTAAATATACTAAAAGCTTACACAAAGGCGCTTGATATACATTTATATACATACATACATACGTTAATATAAAGTGGAAGAAAGAAATATATTTTTTTATTTTATTCCTATTTTTAAAATTGTCTATGGGCGTAGTAAAAATAAAGAAAATATTGAAATATTATGCAGGCAGACGTAGTAAAACCACCGACAAATGTCTGTATCCCTACAACTAATGCCTATTCGCCTGGGGAAAAAAGCGAAAAATGGCAATTGCAAAACAGCAAATTTTCCATTTACTACTGGGTACGATTAGCTTTGAATTGATTCTTACATAAAATACACACTTTAATTAATTCTCAACTCATTGATAGCATCCTGAGTAAGGTCGCTCTTCTCTTCTACAGCATCAGATTAAATGTGTATCCACCGGAGGAAATAACACAAAATCTCTCCTTTATATGAACCAAATTTGAAATTCGCACTCCCATAAAGGACCACTGCGTGAGCCGACTACCTAATTTGGGGACTGAATATTCTACATATAAGACCTTTATTTCCGCTTGTGATAATTCGTTGAATTCGGTGTAATAATTGTCCTTTTGTCCGAGGAAATCAGTATAGACTTTTAGAATAAATGTTAAATAAATTAAGAAAATTCAATATTTCTTTGAAATAAAGGAAAACTTATGAAAGCAACACTCAATTTGCTCAATCAGCCAAGACATATTTCAAAAGAATCGGTTTATCATAATGTATTTGTTATCTCAACAACAAAACAAAAAAAGAAACTATTTAGGGTTAACCTTTTTGAACATTTAACTCATGAGCATTTAAAAACCAATATTCATCAATTTATGGCTGAGATACTGAGATGTATCAAAAAGTGGTCGAAAATGGAGTTTATGAAAATTTGTGAGGCGTTCATTCCAATGTTGTCATATTTCACATGTATTGCCAAAATTTAACCTTTATAATAAGGGAAAGAAATTCTGTACAGCAAGTTTATGGTTTA